CCCCCCCCCCCCCAAATGCCCTAAGAGAAAGAATGTATGAACAGTGCATCCAGAATGATCTGTCCTGTTTATAATCTCCCTGTCATCCATCATTGGTTAAGGGATGTCAGAAGATACCTGTGTGACTGTTTTGTTTCATCATCCATGAGTTTGTCTAGTCCCTCTGTGAACTTGGATATGCTATGTGCCTCTATAACCTCCTGCAGCAATGAGTTCCATAAATTAACAGCACACTCCACACAGAGGCATCTGTAACCCGCTATAGGAAACTGAGTGGGAAAATGCAAACAACTGTCACCATCTCTTTCCTCCCCTCCTTGTGCTCCCTTCTCCCACTCCCAGAGGCCAAAAAAGCCAGTGAGAATGAAGTTCAGAATCTGGTGACCTCCATGGCAAGCAACAAGTCCTACTCATAGTTATTAATAATAAAATTAGGTAAAAAAAATCTTCTAAACAATTTTGCTCAGTGCATTTTTAAACATGTTAGAGAGGTCCTATTTTTGTAATTTTATTCAGCCTTAGGGATCTCAAAGCAATAGTACTGAATCTCAGCATTTATCACTGAAACATGGCCACTTTCTGGAAAGAGAATACTGCAGCAAGCCTGATTTTAACAGTGCACAGAAACATTGAACTATTTAGAAAAGGAAGTGAACATATATATATTCTTGCTTCTGTAACAGCTGAAGAAATAGAAGCCAAGAAGAATGGAATTTGCTTAGCACATCAGTGCTGTTTGAAGTCCTACAAATAACCACAAGTTAGCAGAAACTCAAATTCTGCATCTCATCACTACACAATTAAGAAATTAATTTAAAACAAACTCCTTTAGTAATAAGGTTTTGCACACGGTATGTTAATTTTCATATATCTTACATTAAACTGAATTCCTGGTTGACTGAGAAGAGGGTTCCTTCTGTAAAGTCTTTGGGTGAATTGACTTGAGGTTCATACAATAAAACCTGACGTTTCAGCTTTGGAAATGCTACAAGAGACTATAGAGAAAAGAAAAAAAAAAAGCAAGAAGCCCATGAAAATAAAAAATATCAGGCTAGTGACACAGCACCAATCATTTTGAACAAGACGTGCAACCATTAGCTATATTATAAGCTACTTTGTGCAGGAATTACATAATCTTACTTCATAAAAATATCAGGTATGCTGATGGCAAGAATCAATTAATACAGGTGAACAATATTAACGCACACTGATATATGGTACCTTGTTTCTGAAAGACAGATGTAGAAAACAAGTTGATATAAACAAGGGCATTCCAAAGAGTTAAGTACATGAACTCACTGCTACATAAGTTTAGTTCCATTAGTTACATGATTCATGTATAATTTCTTCCATTTTTGTTGATTTAAGTGAATTACACATGTTTACCCCCTAAAATTAACTTACTTTTATATAAAATACACTTAAGCAGATACCTCTGTGTTCCTAGAATCTGACCAATCCCATTGAAAGACATCATTATGATTTGGTCCTGTAGGCCACACCTGGCCAGAAAGACCTAACTGCCATCAGAAGTTAAGTTCGGCAGTTCTGGCATGAAGGTGTTCCTTCAGGTCAAGGCTATACAAGGAAGCACCAGAATCACTGGACAACTAGTTGAAAAAGTCTTCACTCTTCAGTTTCAGAGAGTTAGTACTTTAAAAATATTGAAATGAATAATTGGGGGGTGGAGGTGTGCGTGTAAGTAAATTAAAATCAAGTAGCAATCTGTTTCAACTGAAAGGGAAATACCCATAAAGTCCTCCTAAGTTCTGCATCAGGGAGCTCAGTTGCCAGTTTAAGGTTTTCAAAGCTGATCTTCTCACGGGGTCTTTGGTTCCATGCAAAAAGCACAGCCAGCTGAAATGTTGTTACCTCCAAGTCATACTGGCCAACCTCATTCTTAAACGTTATCTGTAGATCAAAAGAATTGATGAACACAAACGTTTTGAACACAAGCTTTTTTTTTCATTACTGTGGATAAATAATGAAGTTTAGACAATAAAAATGAACCCAGTAAAGTTCATATACTTACAATTCCATTGGACATGAGATGGTGCCAGTGCAGTTTTCTGCCACTATGATTCTTTTTGTAGAACTCTTCTACCTCGGGGATAAGATCTTCCAATTCCGTAGGCAGTGACACAAACACTTTTTCAGAACTTCGAGACCAGGCACCAGCATTTAAAATTTTAATATTCACAGAATCAGCTATAAAGACAGTGTTAAAATACATGAATCTAAAGATACATTAGGATTAAATACAAAAGGTACACTTTAATTAACTTTTCAAAAATCGGAAACTTTTAAGCCAGTGAGGACCAAATCATCAAAACTAATTAGAGTTTAAGATGACAGAAAGGCACACAAGTTTTGTTTAGATGCCTCTAGTTTTCAATACTCCTGCTCATCTTCTATCTAACCACCACTGACATGGCATAGAGATTTCTTGAGATGGATAAATACTGTTGCAAAGAAGGAAGGTGTGATAAAGTGCTAAGTAATTTGGAACAATTTAAAAAAAACCCCAAATTATAGAACCACCAACACAAAGAGATGAGGAACCAATTGTGTTTCATTATGTAGTCTCATCTTGAAAAA